ATATATATATATATATATATTAAATTCATATAAATAAAGCCACACGAACAGATACTGTTTTTCCTCTCTTTGCAGATCTGGCAGTTGTTTCCTTCTCATGATCTGACCAGGAAGAGGTGAAGAGGCTCTTTGAGTGAATTTGCAGTGCTGAGCTCTGTTCCTAGGGCACTTTAGGGTCATGTTAGCACACAAATGGCAGATATTAACACACTCAGATATTACCCCTTTATTCTTTTCCATGGGCTCTGACATTATGAGATCCGGAGTCAGGAAGAAGTGTTACTCCTTTCTCACTGTAGCGCTCACCCTATTCAACAGAGACCTCTAACCACACCCGAGGTAGGTAGGCTCAAACTGCACAATGCTTGAAAATGCCTTGACCTTTAGGAACTGCTGGGCAAATAATAGTTCAGTTCTGTGGAGGGAAGGACATCTCCTCTCAGTGTCCATCCATGGTTTCCCTGGAAGAGTCCTTGAGTACTGTTGACCCCATGAGCCTGGGCAACTTAAATACAACATGAGAAAGGTCCTTCTCTGCTGACTCCATTGTAAACCATTGTCTAAACAATATTTTTACAGATATTGTATTTGTGTCGATATTGTATTGGACCAGCAGCACACAGAGCACTTGTTATGATCTTCCAGTGCCAGTGAGATATAGAGTGACTCCAGTTGTGGAAGGGGGATAATGGTGGTCATGGGAGAGGCTGAGAGGGGCATATGTTCTGTTTTTAGATGAGAAGATTGTCTGGGCCCCTTTGTCTCTCTGGGTGAGGCCTATTCTTGGTGTCTCTGTTCCAGTCAACAGAGAGGCTGTTTCTGGATTTCTCAATGGAAATTTCAAAAGATGCCTTTTATTGCAAATTTGTTTTTTTCATCTCCACCTGCACCTTACATGCACCCATCACTTGGCAAGAGCACTTCTATCATTAATCGTATACTGCCACCCCTTTTTGTTCTGGCCTTGAATACTAACTGTTCCTCTTCCAAGCTAAAGACAGTCAATAGAGCCTGTTTCTTACAAATCCTAACACAGTTATTTTTCGTTTTAGCTTTGAGGATTCTCTGTTCAGCCCTCTGATTAAAAAATGTGGTGAGCGAATTTTGTGAAAATGTTGTGAAAAAGTTGTGAAAACAAAGGTTTTGTGAAAATTAAAGTCTGACTATTATAATTATGCTCTTTCTAGCCATTATTGCAAAATAATAAACACTCAGCACTTCTTATAGTGCCAAGAGCCTTGTGAACATGAATTAGCAATAAGTATCAGGTAATCATTATAATCCCTCTGGTCTGTAACACAGAGAAACTGAAGAAGAACTGTGAAATGACACAAATCTCCCTGCAAGTCAATGGTGGAGCTCTTTGGGGAAGAGGCCTTTTCTTCGTCCAGAGTGTTTCTGGCTCCTGGCCACTGCCTCAGTACACATAAAGATAACAGTGTCTGGACTTCCCATCTTTGCTCATTCTTCTAAGACTTGGTGCCTCCTATTACATGTGATTTTATCATTAATAACAAGAAAAATGTAAGTACTTCCTTGACAATTTCTGCTGGTAATGAGATTGTAATCTGAATGCTCACGTCCTTTGAAGCACCCATTACAGGTACAAGTACATGGCTTGCTATCTTGGCATCGTTTGTTGCAGTAAGTACTATTTTTAATACTCACATGTGTACTTTGGCTAATAGGATGGTTATTTTATCCTTTGTTTCTTCAGTCACTGCTTTTATATAAAACATGACCCGATGCAGGTGCTTTATTAACATTTACTTTCTTACACTCATCTAAACCAAAAGCAAACCTCTCTCTTTTCTTTGTATGTATATTTTACAGCTGAAGACCTGCTATTTCCTGCTATAATCTCTACTTCTGAAGACCAATGCAAAGAAATCCTTTAGCTCTCTGTAATCTCCTTATCATCACTGATTATTGCTTTTACAGTATGATGGTTAAAACCACCATTATGTCTCCTGGACATGTTCCTCTTCTGAATTACTTAATTGGAAGTTTGATTTTTTTTTACCTTTAGGCATTACTTTTCTAGTATGCCCATAGTTCTGCTTATCAGTATTTCTCCTGACATTTTCTGTGGTTTCTTTCTTTCAGCCCCACCTGGGCTTGGCCCCTTTTGTCTTAAAAATGACATGAAACAAATTCCTGTTACTTGTCTTTTAAACCAACTGACTTGTTCTTTATTTTATTTTCACTTTCTCTCTTCTCTTTTTGCTCTATGCAATGAAATGCAGTGGGACTTCAAGAAGACTAATTTAATCAGTCTCAACTTTCCTTCAGGCTGCTTGTGGCTGGAGAAGGGCGCAAACTAAAACCATAAGGTCAACAGTCCTTCCTTCCTGGACCTTTCCCATCTACTGAACAGAGCAGTGTTGAAACTCTGTGTCCAAATCCACATCCAGACTTTGCTAGTAGTCCCTAATTTCATAATGGACTAAAGTAAACTTGGCCTCAGACCAACTCTTTCTTCTAAGATGCTGGCTGTCAGCCTATCTTCATCTGAAATGACTTCCTACGTAACCCCCTTGTACCACTGTGTACAATTGTGCTTGGAGTTTGAATAGAAAGCCTCTTCCCCTATAACTTGTGACAGCAAAAATCAACATCATTAAAGAATAAAATAGGAGGGAAAGTGAGAGGTGGAAGAAGATCTGGTGTTTGGTGCAGAAAACAACACCTCAATATTCTGCTGAGGGTTTTGTCTGGAAACACTGTTAAGGTTGGGGTAATTTTCTCTGATTCTGCCCTCATTTCTGTAGCCACCAAGGATCCTTTGTGCACAAGAGAGACACATGAAGCCCTCCCTACATTACAGATGAAATTGCAGAGCAGTCAGAGAGATCCAGGACTGCAGGGTCTCAAGGAACTTGAAACCTTTCCTCAAGGAGAGGTTTCTTCCTCCTGGTTTGTCCCGGTTGGATTTTGCTAATGAAATCCTTCCTAGGGACATGTTCAGTGGCTTGCTCTACAAGCAGCTCTAGGCTGTCCACATGTACTCTAATTCAATGACACCTCTGCCTGTTTAACATATGCAGCACCAATATTTTAACAAACATTTCCTGCTTATTTAAATGTTTGTTCTTTGATGCTGAAAGCCAACTCCACCACTGGCCCAGGCATCTGAGCCCACTTCCTCTCCGGCAGCTACCATCCAGACAGGGGAACATTGCAACCAAAGCAAGAAAGATTATGAGAGCTTCCATGTGCAATCCAGGAAGCCAGAAAGGACTTCTGTTTCCAGAGCGTGAGCAAACAAGCTGTACCAAGTTTAAGTTTGGCATACCTATATATAAATTTCAGGCAAAGTGTGAGGCTGGGACAAGGTTTGTCTGCTCTAGGGAAGCACTGTGACAGGGGTATCAGTTACAAAGTTCATGTACCACCCATTTGGATTCAGAGATGATACATCAGAATTTCCTACTTCTGAACAAATCAAGTTTTAGACAGATAGGGGATGCTTTTTTAAAAGGTATATGCAAGAAAGAGGAGGCTAAAGTGCAGCAAGAATGTGCTGGCGATGCCTCACTGAAAGGGGAGCCCAGTCACCCCAAGAAACAGGGGCTGCTAATTCACTGGGGGAATAAAGATCCCAGAGAGCCTGGGAAAAACAAACAGGTCCTTCTGGGGAGTGAACTGTTTTTCAGGATTCCTTGGCAGGCAACCAGCCACTCTGCTTTGTAAGGCCTTGTTCTTCCTTGCAAGGAGGAAAAAAATAACTGAAGGGTTCCCGGTTTATTGAATAAGGTCATCATAATGCGCTCAAAAAGACCAGTGCCACTGCTCCTCATTGTGAGAGCTATGGGGTGTAGCTGCACATTACAGGTGCTTGAATAAACAATATTACCACTTTCAGGAGAGGAGAAAATATATAAAAGACGAGCCTAATGACTTCAGCCCAGCCAGCTTTTCCCCCACTCTTCACAACCCCCCTTCCCACATCCCAGACAGCCTCCAACCCAATACCACTGCCTGTCTCTGAGTGCGTGACAGCGGAAAAAGGCCTTTTCTCCCACAGGAACAGCCAGTGCAACCCAGATAGGCTGTGGGGAGGTTTAACCCCTTCACTGGCTGGCCGCATGCTGTATATCATCACAGGAATGCTGTGCCACATATGTATCTGTTTCCTGAGCTACACATATTTTTTCTTTTACTTACCTTCCCCATTCCAGCATGTGCATGTCCCAGCTTGACCACTACAGGGAAATTCGGAGTTGTGAGCTGAAAGACAAAAGAAGGACATCCTCATTAGTATTTCTTTCCAGCCATTGTATTTGAAATAATTTACTTTTCTTTAGTAGCTTTTATCCCCTTCCTGGATGCTGATGGGAGGATAAAAAGGTCAAATAAAGATTGTCCAGGTGGTAGGACCATAAGCAAATAGCTCTTCACTGGGACCCATATGATCGGAAATGGAGGCCAGGCAGAATTCCTCAGATCTGACCCACTTTTGCTGCCTGATAGCAGTAACTTCTAAAACCTTCTTGTTTTTTCTCATTGCTTTTCCCACCCTGAACATATGAATGTGTGTACACTCATATGCATGTAAAAAAAAGCTGCACCTGCAAGCTTGAGTAAGTGAACGCTTTCAGCTGCTGAAAACATCCGATTTGTGAGAAAGACAAGGGTTGTTTGTTTTTTTCCACACAGGCTGCTTTGGCCTTTAAAGTGAGCGTGAGCAGTCCCTCAGCAGCTCCCATTCCCCTCCCGCCAGCAGTGGTGGGTGCAAGGAGAGAGGGAACAGGGGCCAACCCTTGGGTATAACTCACAAAGTCTACCTATTCATAAAGCCTCTTCCTCTCTTCTCTAACTTCAGGGGTGGGTATAGGGAATAAAAGAGAACAAAGAAGGGTTGGAGTCAGCAATAAAAATAGAAAAAATTATGTCATGTCTTCTCCCTGGCTTGCGTGGTGTTTACATTGGGCAGGGTCCTGCCATCCGAGCCATGCAAGTGCATCTTAACGCACATGTGGGATTTTACTTGGAGAACTGCAAGTATCCTCTCTGCCTTCTATTCCCCAGTTTCATGCTCATGCAAGGATTCACTTGGAGCGATTGGGTGAGAGCTGGGTGGCTGGACTGGTAGGAAGTGCCTGTGCCAGGAGTAACCAGGATAGGTACACCAGACCTCCCCTACATAGTGGTTGGTCCATGTCTACGCCTCTGCTTGACATTCCTGTGATCTTCATCTTGTCCTGTGCTCCTGATTCTTGTGATCTGAATGCTATCCCTTCAGTACATAACCTGTTATTTTTTATTGCATATTTAATTTTCTTTAATAGGAGTTCTTTTAAAAGACACTTTTGTCTTTACCTAAATACCTGAAGTGATGAGCTCTATTCATTAAGCAGTTAACCTGGAGATCTGGCAATGGGAGGGAGTTGAAGTTTGACAGATAAATGGCTTATTTATTTAAGTTTGAGAATAGATAAACAAATTGTTCTTGTGCTAATTACCAATTGTCTGCATGGACAGGCAGGTGCTACGCCCTAAAGATAGAATGGTGCTGCAGTCTCCATCTGTGGCAGCTCACTATAAATAACAAAATTAGTAATGAACACTGATATCTTTTGCTATTCAGCTGCTTATGTAAAGAAATATCACAGGAGAAGGGAACAGTGAGTGCATCATGTTCTCAAACAACCTGTGTCACTTGTGAGGACCTTCTTCAGACAGAAAGCTGAAGGATCCTCTTCAGACCACAGAAGGGCACACAGCTGCAATAAATCACAGTCTTGGCACAGGCAGGGACCAGCACCTGCTGTTTCAGAAGAAGAGGCAAGGGATTGTGATAGGTGGCCATCCTGAAGCCCCATAGTTAAGCATATGTCCAGGCACATGAGTTTGTGCTCTATTTCGCCTTCGCCTCTCTAATTCATTGTAAGAGCCCTAAACTTAATTTGTTGCTGGCATAAATGAATCAAATGGAGGACTGCACCTGAGGCTTACTGAAGATTGGGCTGTGGATGGACCGTGCCAGGCCTTTAATGCTGGAAGATGAAAGGTAACTTAGTAGTTAGGGCACCCACCTGCTCAGGCTCTGGGAGACCTGCCTCGCTTCCCAGCTCTGTCATCCATGCCCCATACACACTGTTTGAGCCAAAGCGCTTGCAAGACCCAGCCTCTGTTCCCTGTTTGTGAGCGGAGGCGGCAGCTGTTGCTACTCCACAGGAAAAGCAAGCTGCATGCTGCGAGCTGGCCTGATACCCTGGCAAGGAGGCCAAATAAGTGTTTGGGATAGATAATGTTATATCACCAGCTCAAAGCAGCCAGAGGCAGGAAGCGATGTCTCTGCTGCCCTGTTTGTGTACCCTACCTGCGGGTTTTACTGAGGGAGCCTGCCTCGAGCGTGGGGCCCAGGAGTGGGAAGCATCTGTCTTCCTGTGTACATGCAAAGAAAGTTTGGGATCCAATAAACAACCCAAGTTTACTGCTAGCCTGGAAGAAACCACCGGCAATGACAACACTCTGCTCAAATGTCTCCCTTTCTCTTTGCTTCTTGGAAACACGAGCTCAGCTTTCTTGGTAAGGCTTGGCCTCATCCCATGTAGGGGTGACCAGCTGGTGCCAGAGCACGCTGGAGTCACAAGCCACTTGGGCTGGCCATAGTGCCTGGGGCTTGGGGTGAAACACAGATCCAGACTCTGACTATGCGGCAGCCTCACTGGGAAAGCTGCGGCTCCGGGGAAATGCTGGCGCATGGTTTGCCAGGAGTCTGCTTCTGCCACTGAAACCCCACCAAATTTCCATGCACATGAACCTGCCTTATGGAGGAACCAATGAGAGAGAGCAGCACATACACTTAGCTGCATTTTATAATGGGTTTATCTAGTGACAACGGAGTGCCCTTAGTCTGTGCTGAAGTTAAGCGGCATCAAAAGCTCTCGATAGTCCACAGGACTAAAGCAACCAGAGTCCACAACCACCAAATAATGGAGCTAGGAAGGCCTTGCTAAAGTGGTGGAAGCGGGCTGAACTCCACCGCAGTCAAGGGAGATATTGCCAGCTTCCACCAGAGTCTTGTTGGGACCCAATTCCCATTTCTGTTGCTAATAAAGTGGCCAGCAAGCATACTTGGCAAGCACCCAGATGGACAGGGAAGCCGAAGGAAGGGAGAACGTATTATACACGCCACTATGTGTATAATCACACACATACATGGTGAGAAGTCCTGGGGGTGGCCACAGCCGCCACCAGGGCAGACCCCTGAGATGAGTATTTACACATACTTAGTCATAGATTTCCTGGGAAAGAAGATGCTTACAATCAAAGGATAGCACCAGAGTTTAATAAGAAAAGCATGTTTTTACTGAAATCATGCAAAGAAATATGTTTGTGTCTTTCTATGTGTTTGTTTATGTGTTGTAAGGGCTCTTTTTTCTTAGAAAAACACATTGATGCTTTTAAAATGTGCAAGAACTGTTGACAGGGCTGGTATAGATGATGTCTGCGGGTTTTGGGATGGGACTGTAGCACTGCAGCTAGTTCAGTGATCAGATGCAGGGTGTTAGTTCATATGCATAACTCAACCCTTTGAATTAAAATCCTGTAAATGTATTCCCAGATGTTGTCACACGAAAGCCTTGAGATGGCAAGGTTTACATATGTGTCTAGAGCTTGGTGTATGAAGATGCTTGTTTAGAGTCAAGCAGGAGTTTGAATCCTGAATTAGGAACTCGACAAAGCCATCTTTGGTAGGAGGGAAGGGAGAGTCATGAAGTTATTTCCAACGTACAACACTGGTGGCCCAAAGTATATCATTTTAGCCCCTGATTTTAAGGGCTCTGCTCTGTGTGTAGTGTCACTGCAAAGATCACTTTGCAGTTAATCAGTATTTTGACACTGGTGTGTAAAAGTGAGTGCCGGTATGCACACATTAGCCTCTATTTGAAAACACATGGCTGTAAACTATGACACTTTCCCCTTTACCCTCTGCCCCTCCTGTCCAACAAATAATGAGGTTTTCAATACTTCTTGTAAATATATGAATATTTTCTGTATTTACTGCTGGTGGAGCAGTAGAACAGAGTTTGATATAAATTGATGTGAAGGGAGGAATCTTAGATGAAACCTGATCTATCCCATAAATACAATGCTTTCCACTCTTTTGTTTCACTGAGGCCCTCAAGAGAGATTCTGATCGTAGGTCTGTGATTTTGTGTACTGACCTGTAGTCCATAAACAATGCAGAATGTCTCTTTTGATTTCCTTCTGCCATGTTTAGTTTTGTGCATTAGTTCACATTATCCATCTCATCATCTCATACAATGCAGTTTCAGTTTCCAGTATTATTCTTTCTTCTGCAAAGCCTTTCCAGTCAATGCTAAAATGAATAGTCCAGGGTGCAATGACATCATGGATAATATTAGGAAGGATTTGGGGAGACGGGAGATGAAGACATTAAAACTTTGGTCTCTTTGCACCAATATTGTATTCCCATAGCATCTAGTGTTTTCAATCAGGCCAGAAGCCCCCATAGCACAAGGTAGTGTAATTTTTGCTTCACCCTTCCCCCAGAAGTAATACTGTGAATTTTTCAAGCTTTTATACTCTAAAACTGACCTTTCTGTTTATTTAGTTGCCTTAACTTCTATAATGACAAAGTCTGTTCTGGGTGGGTACCTAATGGATTATGGGAATGTTGTTCATGCACTTGAGAGCTAAATGTTGAAAGTAATGTGTGTGGCACTTCCCTGGTGTCAATTAAGTTGGAGGAGCAGTGAATATATATGATTTCTTCTAAAAGCAAGCAAGCTGATTCAAACCTACAGGAAAGTAATGATGTCATGACATGATGTCATTGTGTTCATGGAACTATCTTACTGAAAATCTGAGCTGAAGGTCAGCACTGGTTGCATGCCAGCCTTGCCAAGCATGGCAATGTCAGGGCTGCATAGTGAAATACAGAGGAGAAGCAGTGGTGCTCCCTATTATTCACTTACTCGCTCACGAGTTGACGTAATCACCAACTGCATGCAGCATGGCTCACTCAGTGGATTAATACTGTGGCCCCATGGAGGTTTGTGGTGGCCAATGACTATGACAGATAAGTCCTTCCCTTCTGCTGTTTACTAGATCAGAAATAGTGTAAGAAACAACAAGCAACGAAGGGAGAACATGTTGAACAGTAAGAGTTGCCAGCATTAACATCTGTGCTCTATTAAAGACATGTGATACGGATTCCTTTAAAACACACACGTGTGTATTCATTACTGTATTAT